CATGTAAAAATCGACTATATACATGTATATATTCTTTTGCTTAATTTTCACGGATATTTTCGCATTGTTAAATTTATTTTCTTTAGACAATTCAAACAGATCAAGAAACATAAGCACAAAGATTACAATAACAATATTATGTTTTAATGTGTAAGGTATTATATTAAATACGTTTAACTAAATGCTTGTCGAATTATGTATACAAATATTGGCAAATGATAATGATTACATGTATTATTGTATTCATTATGTTTCGTAAGGTTTTGATCTATATCGCTGAAATATGTGCGTCTAGGTGTAATACCACCATTGATTTTCCCCTATTAGTCTTTGTTAAATTTGCACTTTTCAAAAAATTGTGCAGAATTTATCTTTGTTTCAAATAAAGAAATACTTGGCATAAGTAAAGTTTGATCCTGTCCAGTACTATAGAAAAAATTTCACATAACATTTCATTGCATATAAGAAAATAACCATCACTGGAAGTTAACCAATCAAATTTTCCCCCTTTTTTAACCTGTGTACAAGCTTTAGTAACCATGTAACCTCAAGTTTCCAAAATATTCTATAGAAACCCCAAATAAAAAAAAAATGGTGCTTTGAAATACCCAAGATATATGTTTATGACCCAGAAATGTTTTACTGCAATGAAATGTAGGATCAATTATCTACAACTGTCAAATTCAAGGGAATATTTTTTTTTCGACATAATTAGAGGCGACTATGTCATCCTTAGGTTTTTAAATGGCTATTCCTTGCTGTGTCTCGTTCATGAGTTTGACTGCTTCTTCCTTTAAAGAGTAATATGTAACAGTAAGACCTACGACTTCGACGTTCCTTGTCACAAAATGTGTCACGCAACAATCAAGTTCTTGTTCTGGTGCCTGATCAGTTTCCCTGTGTATAAGCGGCGTATTGCTGCAGATGGACTATTCCCGAATGCATGTATATTCGTTGTCTCTATGCCGATAGAATGAAAAAAAAAAATCAGGAGGTCTTCTCTTACACCGGAACATGTGATGGACGTCAGCAGTAGCAGCGACAATTTCTAAATATTTCACAAGAATTGACCATAAACAGGACACTGTTTTGTAGATTCCAAATTTCATTGTTCAGAGGAAATGAACGCATACTATTCGATTAAGTCGGGTTTTATCTATAATTAAGACGGCCACTAAACAGTGGTATATAAATATCCGATAGTGGAGCATGTTTTGCATGATACATTTTTGTAAATGTCAAAAAATATACTCATAAATGTAAGAAAGTTCTCCTGTTGTACCGTGTTCTTACTAAGATGGCGTCTAACAGCTTTGCACGATGGAAAGCTTGCTTTCTGATGTTTGGCACCGGTTATTTTTGCACACGGTTATGGTGCTACCCACTTATAGTGAGTCTTATTGATTCGTTGTCTATGTGTTTCATGAACATTTCGACGACTCATTTCTAATTTAGACTAAAATGGGTCAATGTTCGTATAAAATCGGTGTTATTCAATTATCTGGGATCTTTTATATGAGGATAACTCAATTTGATTCAGGAGAATGTATTTTTTAAAGGCAAATCGAATCTTACGCCATATATTACTTATATGACGAGACCTCTTTAATTGTTTTCGCGAGTAACGGCTCTACCGAAGCATAATAATAGAGTTAATCGTTCTGCTTTTTCTTGTACGTTAAAGAGGCTGATGAATTCATGCGAGGTACGAGACATGGTTGCTCTGATCAACCAAGGTGGCGTACATTCGGATTACTTTGCACAGGTTGTCCTTGTACCCATGTACATTTACTAGTAGTATTATAGAGCATTATTTCTCACTATTAGGATCCTTACAGATCTCTGTGCAGGTACAATGAACATAAGTTGACTCAGTTTAAGCAGTTTCTGTTGACCTCTCGCAATCGACTGTTCAGCATACCATATAACAATAACTCAATTAAACTAATTTGTTACAAGACTTCAAGCATTAATACAAAATTATAATTTTAAAGAGTTACATAGATAAAAGTTTCAAATCTATAACGCGGTAACGATTCGAGAGATTTTATGTATTTGTTAACCATATCCATGTAAAAATCGACTATATACATGTATATATTCTTTTGCTTAATTTTCACGGATATTTTCGCATTGTTAAATTTATTTTCTTTAGACAATTCAAACAGATCAAGAAACATAAGCACAAAGATTACAATAACAATATTATGTTTTAATGTGTAAGGTATTATATTAAATACGTTTAACTAAATGCTTGTCGAATTATGTATACAAATATTGGCAAATGATAATGATTACATGTATTATTGTATTCATTATGTTTCGTAAGGTTTTGATCTATATCGCTGAAATATGTGCGTCTAGGTGTAATACCACCATTGATTTTCCCCTATTAGTCTTTGTTAAATTTGCACTTTTCAAAAAATTGTGCAGAATTTATCTTTGTTTCAAATAAAGAAATACTTGGCATAAGTAAAGTTTGATCCTGTCCAGTACTATAGAAAAAATTTCACATAACATTTCATTGCATATAAGAAAATAACCATCACTGGAAGTTAACCAATCAAATTTTCCCCCTTTTTTAACCTGTGTACAAGCTTTAGTAACCATGTAACCTCAAGTTTCCAAAATATTCTATAGAAACCCCAAATAAAAAAAAAATGGTGCTTTGAAATACCCAAGATATATGTTTATGACCCAGAAATGTTTTACTGCAATGAAATGTAGGATCAATTATCTACAACTGTCAAATTCAAGGGAATATTTTTTTTTCGACATAATTAGAGGCGACTATGTCATCCTTAGGTTTTTAAATGGCTATTCCTTGCTGTGTCTCGTTCATGAGTTTGACTGCTTCTTCCTTTAAAGAGTAATATGTAACAGTAAGACCTACGACTTCGACGTTCCTTGTCACAAAATGTGTCACGCAACAATCAAGTTCTTGTTCTGGTGCCTGATCAGTTTCCCTGTGTATAAGCGGCGTATTGCTGCAGATGGACTATTCCCGAATGCATGTATATTCGTTGTCTCTATGCCGATAGAATGAAAAAAAAAAATCAGGAGGTCTTCTCTTACACCGGAACATGTGATGGACGTCAGCAGTAGCAGCGACAATTTCTAAATATTTCACAAGAATTGACCATAAACAGGACACTGTTTTGTAGATTCCAAATTTCATTGTTCAGAGGAAATGAACGCATACTATTCGATTAAGTCGGGTTTTATCTATAATTAAGACGGCCACTAAACAGTGGTATATAAATATCCGATAGTGGAGCATGTTTTGCATGATACATTTTTGTAAATGTCAAAAAATATACTCATAAATGTAAGAAAGTTCTCCTGTTGTACCGTGTTCTTACTAAGATGGCGTCTAACAGCTTTGCACGATGGAAAGCTTGCTTTCTGATGTTTGGCACCGGTTATTTTTGCACACGGTTATGGTGCTACCCACTTATAGTGAGTCTTATTGATTCGTTGTCTATGTGTTTCATGAACATTTCGACGACTCATTTCTAATTTAGACTAAAATGGGTCAATGTTCGTATAAAATCGGTGTTATTCAATTATCTGGGATCTTTTATATGAGGATAACTCAATTTGATTCAGGAGAATGTATTTTTTAAAGGCAAATCGAATCTTACGCCATATATTACTTATATGACGAGACCTCTTTAATTGTTTTCGCGAGTAACGGCTCTACCGAAGCATAATAATAGAGTTAATCGTTCTGCTTTTTCTTGTACGTTAAAGAGGCTGATGAATTCATGCGAGGTACGAGACATGGTTGCTCTGATCAACCAAGGTGGCGTACATTCGGATTACTTTGCACAGGTTGTCCTTGTACCCATGTACATTTACTAGTAGTATTATAGAGCATTATTTCTCACTATTAGGATCCTTACAGATCTCTGTGCAGGTACAATGAACATAAGTTGACTCAGTTTAAGCAGTTTCTGTTGACCTCTCGCAATCGACTGTTCAGCATACCATATAACAATAACTCAATTAAACTAATTTGTTACAAGACTTCAAGCATTAATACAAAATTATAATTTTAAAGAGTTACATAGATAAAAGTTTCAAATCTATAACGCGGTAACGATTCGAGAGATTTTATGTATTTGTTAACCATATCCATGTAAAAATCGACTATATACATGTATATATTCTTTTGCTTAATTTTCACGGATATTTTCGCATTGTTAAATTTATTTTCTTTAGACAATTCAAACAGATCAAGAAACATAAGCACAAAGATTACAATAACAATATTATGTTTTAATGTGTAAGGTATTATATTAAATACGTTTAACTAAATGCTTGTCGAATTATGTATACAAATATTGGCAAATGATAATGATTACATGTATTATTGTATTCATTATGTTTCGTAAGGTTTTGATCTATATCGCTGAAATATGTGCGTCTAGGTGTAATACCACCATTGATTTTCCCCTATTAGTCTTTGTTAAATTTGCACTTTTCAAAAAATTGTGCAGAATTTATCTTTGTTTCAAATAAAGAAATACTTGGCATAAGTAAAGTTTGATCCTGTCCAGTACTATAGAAAAAATTTCACATAACATTTCATTGCATATAAGAAAATAACCATCACTGGAAGTTAACCAATCAAATTTTCCCCCTTTTTTAACCTGTGTACAAGCTTTAGTAACCATGTAACCTCAAGTTTCCAAAATATTCTATAGAAACCCCAAATAAAAAAAAAATGGTGCTTTGAAATACCCAAGATATATGTTTATGACCCAGAAATGTTTTACTGCAATGAAATGTAGGATCAATTATCTACAACTGTCAAATTCAAGGGAATATTTTTTTTTCGACCTATTTTCGTATGCAACCGGATGTGACGTACTATGATTTGGTGGTATTACACCTCTATATTTTTCAACTTTATTTGATTGGTTTAATTTGCCACATGAACCCCTATTACACAAAGACTAATTGTATTAACTTAAAAAAAATATATGAATTCAAAACACAAATACACGACAGGAATTTCAGAACTTCAAAATGAGGTTAATTATTAGACATCAGTTAGGAAAATAAGCTGCATTTAAAAGACTATAAAATGTAAGACAATTTATTCTGAATATTTCTAGCTTTCACTATTAAAGTCTCTCACTATATTTTGTGAAGTATAAAAATCAGTTTTAAAACAATCCAATGGTTGAGTAATGCTTGAAAAAAACAAGTCACATATATTTTGTCAAAATTTACGTGTTACTTTCGTTTTGGTTGATAACAACATAATTTATACTTCCTTTAGAGACACAAATTGTCAAGCTCTAAAATGCGTAAAAGTATACATTGAAATGTTTTACGCGTGTTGACGGATGTATACCTTGCGTGAAATCCTTTTGATGCTTTTTTGTCGAAATATCACTTTGCTATCAGAATGAAAACACAACCTACCTTTAACATCTTTGAACTTTCCAGTGATAAAGTTAAATCAAGAAAAGCGCTTCGGAAGCCGCTGCTGATGAACTGTTTTTCTCTGGGGTATCACTAGCTCTCAGTATTCAGTGCTGCGATAAAGCCATGATTTATAATATATCTTTGCTTAATTTGCTTTTGCTAATTTCGAAATAAATGAACTAACTTAAGGTTCCAACTCCTTCAGGCAAAGTTGACCTTAGGTGGATTTTGCTTTTTATTTTAGCTCCCTCAATGATATAAAAAAAACACGTAATTTAACTTAAACTTCAAAAGATTGCTTACAATTTGAAGATAGTGAACTTCATTATTTTCATAATCTTTATTACAAAATGTAATAATAATGTCTTGAACTTAAAAAGTGGTCAGGGATTTAGTTAAAAAGACAGAACGATTAGTTCTAGAACAATTACGAGAAGCGGACATGAAACTATTAGAACGCATACTAAAAGCAAAGATGAAATGTTATTAGAACAATTATCAAAAGCCGAATTGAATGGTTATTTGACCGGATTTTGTATAGTTTGTGTACCCAATATATAGTAGGGAGTTTCAAATGTCCATAGTGGGGGGGGGGGGGGGGGGGGGGCTTCAGCTGAGATGTGGTACCTAGTGGTATGATTGTCTACTGTTTGAATCTCTATTGAGCGTACTCCGTTAAATGTAGAAGAATTTATAATTTCATTTCCAAAAACTTCCTGTAGTATTTACGGCATACCACTACCAAATTGTTGGCTGCTTTTCTCGGCAGGTACGAATAAAAACGCTTTTCCAGTATTTGCAGTTTTTTATCCTAGAGATTTGGAAATGGGCAAATGCCTTTTATTATCTTCATATTTATCAATACGGGAGAACAGCCTGTGTTTACAAAAATGCGCGTATACTCATGTAGTGGACTTAAACGGTATTGTTTAAGATTCTTCGAAAATATCTTGAAATATATTGATATCACTTTTCAACCAGTTTTCCATGCAAACTAATTGATGCTTACATCTAAAAGTTTGAAATTAGTTCCATGTTGAATTTGACAATTATGATTGATACCTTTACCTTGAGACTTCTTAGTATTTTCAAGTTTTAGCTCACCTGGCCCAAAGGGCCAAGTGAGTTTTTCTCATAACTTGGCGTCCGTCGTCCGTCGGCGTCCGTTAACTTTTACAAAAAATATTCTCCTCTGAAACTACTGAGCCACATTTATCCAAACTTAGCCACAATCATCATTGGGGTATCTTGTTTAAAAATGTGTCCAATGACCCGCCTACCAACCAACATGGCCGACATAAGTTTTGTCTATTATCTTAAAAAATCTGACGCACACAGAAATGTTGAGAATATTGAATTCTACATATTGTTTATTTACATGAAAACTGTCAGACGACTTCTTATAAGAAGCATTGCCCTTAAATGACGAATTTTACCATTTTCCCCCTTTTTGCCTATTATCTTGAAAACTAAAAAAGATAGACAGAAACTTGAAAAGCAAAAATGATGTGTAAGACAAGATCTACAAATAACTCAATTAGCTAAAATCGTTTGACGAGCCCTTATTGCATTTATTGCCATTTTTTTAGGTTTTTGCCTAATATCTTAAAAATAAGAAAAGATAGATATAAACTTAAATAAACAAAACTGACACTCAAGATAATACCCAATTAACAAGGCCAAAATCGTCCGATGACTCCTTATTGGAGTTATTGTTCTTAAATGATGATTTTTACCTGTTCTTAGTGTTTTCCCATAAAATCTTAAAAACTACAATAGAAAGATAGAAACTTAAATAAGCAAAACTGATCAGCAAGACAAGATCTAAAAATAAATCTACGCTGCTAAAATCGTCCGACGACTCCATATTAGAGTTCTTGCTCTTTAATGACAATGTTCAACCATTTCTTCGCGTTCTTGCCTATTGTCTAAGAAACTATAAACGATAGACCCTTAAAAAAGCAAAAATGATCAGCCAGACAGGATCTCATAATAAGTTTGCATGGTCAAAATCATCAGCCAACTCCTTATAAGAGTTATTGCCCTTAAATGGTGATTTTTACCATGTTTTTGTCAATTATATTGAAAACTATCTTAGATAGATAGAAACTTTAAAAGCGAAAAGATTAGCAAGACAAGATCAACAAATATCTCAACGTGACTCAAAATTGTTGTCAGTTAGCTAGATGTAAGGCGTTAATGACCTTTAGTAAATTTTTTTTACCCAAAATAGATATTCTTGAAGATACAGGTGAGCGACACAGGATATTTAGAGCCTCTAGTTATGGACATTATTCATGATATCAATGGATGAAGTTTACGATATGTTTCCCTGTTCCATATTATTCTAATTTAGGATGACATGATAATAATGCTGTCTGTAGTCGTTTAAAAAAATCAACTTGTTAATGTGATTATTCTTGTTGTTTCGGAATAGTTTCGAGTGGTTGGATTTTTATAACATATATGTGGTGTAAATGTTTGCTTGAATGCTGGTTAGTCACACCTTTGAATTTCTTTCGTCTGCGGTAGCGGTAGAGATGTTCCTGTTAAAATTCACGTCCTGTTTTGTTTATATATTGAATACTACATTAAGGTTGTTCCAAGTTTTTTTAAGTACGAGTTTTGAAAAAAAAATGTGAAAAATCGTAATGGAAAATTATAATAATTATTCTCACCTGTTACGTCCTAGTATGCTCATTTTAACATTTTAGGCATTTCGTGTGATATTATTTTTATAAATATCGCTTACTTATGACAAGCCGTTTTACTATTTATCCTAGCTTCAAGATATCTAATAAACTTTATAAGATTTATCATATAGTTTACAAGATATCTTATATAGTTTATAAGATATCTCATATAATTTATAAGATATCTCATATAATTTTCTTTATAAGATATCTTATACATCATATAAGATATCTTATTAACTATATGAGATATCTTATAAACTTTAGAAGATATCTTATAAACTATATGAGATATCTTATATAATATATCAGATATCTTATATAATATATAAGACATCTCATATAATATATAAGATATCTCATATAATATATAAGATATCTTATAAACTATATGAGATATCTTATATAATATATCAGATATCTTATATAATATATAAGACATCTCATATAATATATAAGATATCTCATATAATATATAAGATATCTTATAAAAACTAGATTATATAAGATATCTTATAAAAACTAGATTATATAAGATATCTTATATTTTATATGAGCTATCTTATATATTATATGAGATATCTTATATATCATATGAGATATCTTATATAGTATATGAGACATCTTGAAGTTAAAATAAATAGTAAAACGGCTTGCCATACTTACTCGTGCTTTTAACAATGCCTTACCATGTTAGAATGAGCACAGATCAAACAGGAAAGACTTTGTTTTTAATTTATGAATGATTATTGATTATCCTTTGACATTCAATTATTTTACCTGTAGAAAACAATTTACCTTCCGCATTCATTTGATACAATAACTTATGACGCAAAGCAAGTATTCATTCAATTTATACTATACGTTTGTATCTTTTGTTTATAATTATGAAGTATATTGATATAACGACATTATCAATTATGATGTTGTTCTGCATATTGACATCTGTAAGTCGCTGGTGATTGAGCGTAGCGAACTAGATCTGCAGGTTTACATTCTATTATAGGAGGTTGATATTTTTTCGTGTCAATACTAGTATACCCATAATTTCTAAATACCAAATTGAAAATTCTTGTTTTATTACCCTTACTTCTGCCCCCAAACTATTTAAAACTATTACTATGAAACGTAATGAATTTCTTCAGGCAAGATAAACTAACCAAAACTAAATAATGCTGCAGTAGAGGAATTTCTAAAGAATAGTTGCATGAGAAGGAAATAAATTATAAAAAAAAACAAAAATATTTGGTGACAGGAAATCAGTTGATGTGAGGTATCAAGAGCTCATAAATAAAAAAGGATATATGGTACATATGCATTTGTCAGTTATACAATATGTCAGTAACACAAAGTATAGCAATGATATCTAGCGGTTAGCATACGGCTATAATAAGGGATTTTTCATATCACTTTGTTATATTTAAGTTTTGAAAATGAATGTAACAGCATATTTTGAAAAAAATATAGCTTTAAATTTAACATTTGAATTATGTTATAAAATTCAAACTAAAGAACCAATACACGAGACTTTCCGTAATGGTCCTTTAATTAGAGTATTGTGAAACAACTGAAATGAACCATGTTATCAGTGGGAAATCTAGTGTCAAAATATATATTACCTCCCCTTTAAACACTAAACTTGACCTTTTTAATGTTTGTCCTATACTCAGAAACCTAGATTTGGAAAATAGGTAAATTTTGTGAATTGTAACATGTTAAGGACTAATGTGTGACTTTATGGGGCTTTAGATTTTGTAGGTTTATGATTTTTTCCAATTTTTTTTATCAACATTGAGCAAAGATTTACCTATTTTTACATTTCAATTTCACAAGTATCTAACGCAAATATCTCGATAAACAATAAAAATAAAACATCGTGTATTTGCATGTATATTTCTAATAACACAGTTTAAAAAATACTTTCTTTAAAATGTACGACAGTTGTTTAGAAATAACTTGTAA